TATTAATTAACACGTGAGATGGGATGAAAGGACGGGTCTTCTTGCATTTCCCACTCTCCATCGTCTTCAATTTACTACAAAAGAACACAAAATGTTTTGTGTAAAGAGTGAATCACTTCAAAAGAACACACTCTTTGATCATAAGGTCTTGTTCTTTTTTAAGTGAATTTGAGAGATTTAATGATAATTTTTTTTTATCGTTTATTTGAGTGAATATGAAAATAAACGAGAATAAATTTAGAAATAAATTTTTTTAGTTTCTCACGTAAATACACTTTTATATTTATTATCACAAATTTTATTTCCAAATTCATTCTTCTTGATCTCTATATTCACTCAAATAAACGATAAATTTTTTTTTTCAAATCTCTCAAATCCACTCCTTTAAATCCATTTAAAATAACATGTACTAAAAGAAGCCGGCTTTTATTGATGTTTTAACGTTTTTGATTTTATAAGGAATAACCCACTTTTGGCTGAAGTATTTTCCATTGTGATTAGTATTATCAGAGGATTTTTTTTTGGTTCTGTTTGACAGCACACAGAATGTTAAAAACTGTATATTTCGTATTACAATGCTCTAGTCATTAACAAAACTGCATCACATCACCTCTTATTCTCCCCTGCAGTTGATGAATTATTCCCTTCTAAAGAATGAGAAACACCAAAAGATGTAATATAATAATAAAATAAAAGCATTATTGTTCTCATAAATTCTGACACAGCAACGGCTTGTAAATGTTATTATGTAAGGGCTTCATAAAAAGAAAACACAGCATGAAAATATCCTATAATACAAAGACGATCTCACACCCTCTATAAATCAAATGAAATCTCGACCGAAAGGTTTTACTTACCTCTATGGCCATGTTTAGCAGAAGGAGTTTATATTGTTGACAACCATGACACAAAGTCGGTCTCTTAAGTCATTAAGAGACTTGACGTAAGCTTCTCTCCATTTTTTATTTAAGAGAATGACACAGAAAACTCCCAAAAAGCCTGCCACAAATCCAGATTTTAGTCCAATATGAAACCATGGAAAAAATTCAGATTCATCTCCATCTTCATTTATTGGCTTTCTGTCTTTAAATTTATCATCTGACAACTTGAAGCATACTTTTGTAAGTGGAGGTCCACAAAGATCAGAATTGCCTGTGTAGCTGAGTTCATCAAATCCCTGAAGTTGTGTGCCTGATGGTATATTGCCTGTGAGATTGTTGAATGACAGGTTTAAATAACCGAGAAAGGTCAATTTGGACATGGCCTGGGGAATTTCACCGGAAAACTGATTCACAGAGAAATCAAGGGATTCCAAATTTTTCATGTTGCCAATTTCGTTAGGTATTTTTCCTGTTAATTTATTGTGCGACAAGTTCAGGGAACACAATCCGAAGAGGCTAAACATTTGGACAGGAATTGTTCCAGATAAATTGTTACTTGACATATCAATTAAGTTCATAAATTTCAAGTTATTGTCATATTCTAATACCAGGCCTTTTACAACCAGCTCAAGACTTTCTTTAAAGAAGTAAAAACTTCTATTTGAGAAATTGTATTGTAGGGTTGTTGAATACTCCCTGTGGGAAGCATTGTTGACAACTAAGGCTGTGATATTACATAGGCAGGTGGGTACGCGTCCAGAGATTGTGTTATCTGCAATATCCAAAATAAAGAGGGATGACATTTGGCATATTTGTTNTAGATAGGTAACCAGGTAATCTATGATCTTTAAACGACCATGGAGATAGGAATTCTTATTTTAATATAAAAATACACTTATTTTTCGCTATATTTTCGAGATTTATTTAGATTTTTAAATTTTTAAAAATATTTTACGATTTAAAATTTGTGTTAGTTTGGGCTTTTAGAAATAATAGCAGAGTCTTTTTCTTATTATGAGTATTTTTAGAGGATTCAAAATATAAATCTTATATGACATTCCATATCAATTATTATTGTATTAAGTTTGAAAGTCATGATTATTAAAATGTTTAATTTCTCACTGTGTTAAATGATTTAATAAAATAGTTTTTTTAACTTAGTTTTAATTCGGAAAAATAAGATTCTTAAACGACAATAATTTGATGAAAAATTAAATAAAAAGATCATTATACATTATTTATTGATATTTTTATTTTAAATCTTAATTAAATTTCTAAGTATATCGTAAATTTAACATTAAATTTTATTGATTTACCGAGTATTCAAATTATATATTTTTTAATTATTTTTTTATAGTTAATATAAATAATATTATTGCTAATGTAATGATAATTGACTTTATTCATAATTAAGAATAAAATCTTGCATTTTTTAATCTCACATTTCTTAAGAGATTAAAACAGGTAATAGTCACTCGTTAATTAACAAAAATTAAATAACAAACTTAATTAAAAATATCAACACGTGTCTCACCTAAGGAATGTATAAAACCATGTTTTTCTTGTAACAATGGTACAATTATTAACATTAACAGTATCTATTTCATTCTATTGGATCAATGCATGTTTGTTCTATACGGATTTCAGTTTAAAACATATCACAATAAAATAGATTTGGCGAATAGTAAAAATATAGGTTTATTTTATTGTATCATTGTATTTTTATCCTTATTCCGTAGGAATTAAGATGCTAATGTATCTTTTGTCCTGAGCTTAATATCATCTTAAAATTTATATTTATATTTAAATATTTTAGATATATTCGTATTTTTTTTATTAATGATTGATCTTTCTTAAAAAGTGTTAAAATATTTTTTTTCTCTTGATTATTCTGAAGTTTCAAACTTGAATTTTTATTAATGAATGTGAGCCTGATTTTACTCATACTAATAAACTGTTAGTTTTAATATGTAGTTTAAATTTAGTAAAAGAACTTGTATTTTAGGTATAATGCTTTAATTCATCTTCGATTAAAGGAAGATTATTTAGTTTTTTAAGACTTGTTTAATTGTAAAAATGTGTTTGAGAAAAGTGAATAGATGAATTTAATTGGATTTAAAATTAAAATTTTTGTATATTTTTTAAGAGATTTGGAATTAAATTTAGAGATGAAATTTGTAAAGTTTGTGAAAGATTTTATAAATGTGATTAAATAAGTAAAATATTTTAATAGAGTATAATATAATATTATTTTTTAATAATAATAATAATTATTATTATTATTATTTATTATTATTATTATTACTATTACTATTTATTGCTATTAAATATTTAGATATTATTGATTATTATGGAAAAAAGCATTGTTTTTTATATTAATAATAATAATTGTAAAAGATATGCTTTATATTTCTAAAAACTATTATATATTTTTGAAGGATTAAATATAATTTTGGTTTTTATTTTTGTTTACGTTGGTCCTCATTATTTTAATGTTCAATAAAGTTATAGTTTTTTTTTTTTTAATTTTAGTCATTTTGATTTTTAACTGGGTTTAAATTATTGACAAAAAATTAACTGTGAATGTTATACATAATTTCATTATTTAATGTCATTGTCTTTTAGTTCAATCTCAATTTTAATTTATTTTGTTCAATTCAATCTCAATTTTAAATTTTAGAAGAAAAGATAAAATATAAATCTAATGATTATATTTTAATAATATAGTTAAAGTTTGTTTAAAAATAATGAAAGAAATATTTAACAAAAAATGTGAACTTTAATAAAAATTAAATTTGATTTTAATGTAGAGAGAGTCAAAATTAGAATTGAATCGAAAAATTAACAAAAATTAAAAATAAATTGAAAAAAATAATAAAAATCGTAACTGAATTGAATGTAGAATAATAACACGAACTTATATCGTACTATCACTTTGATGTAATATTGACTTTGAATAATTTTTTAAAAATAAAAATAAAAACAAAAAAATTACAAAATGATAAATAACGTGTTTAAAAAAATCAAAATTGAGGAAAATAGGATTCTTATTAAAAAAAAAGTAAAATTATATTTAAGTCATTCTTAAATGTAATTAATGGTAAATGTGTTGTAAGAAATAGAGGTAAATTGTAGTCGACGAATCTCTTAGAACAGTAAGTGGTTGAAGAAAAAGTAAAGGCGGGATAAAAAAACAGTGTTACACATTATAGTGGTACTTTTGTCAAATAATGTCACTCACAAATCTCTATTAATTAACACGTGAGATGGGATGAAAGGACGGGTCTTCTTGCATTTCCCACTCTCCATCGTCTTCAATTTACTACAAAAGAACACAAAATGTTTTGTGTAAAGAGTGAATCACTTCAAAAGAACACACTCTTTGATCATAAGGTCTTGTTCTTTTTTAAGTGAATTTGAGAGATTTAATGATAATTTTTTTTTATCGTTTATTTGAGTGAATATGAAAATAAACGAGAATAAATTTAGAAATAAATTTTTTTAGTTTCTCACGTAAATACACTTTTATATTTATTATCACAAATTTTATTTCCAAATTCATTCTTCTTGATCTCTATATTCACTCAAATAAACGATAAATTTTTTTTTTCAAATCTCTCAAATCCACTCCTTTAAATCCATTTAAAATAACATGTACTAAAAGAAGCCGGCTTTTATTGATGTTTTAACGTTTTTGATTTTATAAGGAATAACCCACTTTTGGCTGAAGTATTTTCCATTGTGATTAGTATTATCAGAGGATTTTTTTTTGGTTCTGTTTGACAGCACACAGAATGTTAAAAACTGTATATTTCGTATTACAATGCTCTAGTCATTAACAAAACTGCATCACATCACCTCTTATTCTCCCCTGCAGTTGATGAATTATTCCCTTCTAAAGAATGAGAAACACCAAAAGATGTAATATAATAATAAAATAAAAGCATTATTGTTCTCATAAATTCTGACACAGCAACGGCTTGTAAATGTTATTATGTAAGGGCTTCATAAAAAGAAAACACAGCATGAAAATATCCTATAATACAAAGACGATCTCACACCCTCTATAAATCAAATGAAATCTCGACCGAAAGGTTTTACTTACCTCTATGGCCATGTTTAGCAGAAGGAGTTTATATTGTTGACAACCAGGACACAAAGTCGGTCTCTTAAGTCATTAAGAGACTTGACGTAAGCTTCTCTCCATTTTTTATTTAAGAGAATGACACAGAAAACTCCCAAAAAGCCTGCCACAAATCCAGATTTTAGTCCAATATGAAACCATGGAAAAAATTCAGATTCATCTCCATCTTCATTTATTGGCTTTCTGTCTTTAAATTTATCATCTGACAACTTGAAGCATACTTTTGTAAGTGGAGGTCCACAAAGATCAGAATTGCCTGTGTAGCTGAGTTCATCAAATCCCTGAAGTTGTGTGCCTGATGGTATATTGCCTGTGAGATTGTTGAATGACAGGTTTAAATAACCGAGAAAGGTCAATTTGGACATGGCCTGGGGAATTTCACCGGAAAACTGATTCACAGAGAAATCAAGGGATTCCAAATTTTTCATGTTGCCAATTTCGTTAGGTATTTTTCCTGTTAATTTATTGTGCGACAAGTTCAGGGAACACAATCCGAAGAGGCTAAACATTTGGACAGGAATTGTTCCAGATAAATTGTTACTTGACATATCAATTAAGTTCATAAATTTCAAGTTATTGTCATATTCTAATACCAGGCCTTTTACAACCAGCTCAAGACTTTCTTTAAAGAAGTAAAAACTTCTATTTGAGAAATTGTATTGTAGGGTTGTTGAATACTCCCTGTGGGAAGCATTGTTGACAACTAAGGCTGTGATATTACATAGGCAGGTGGGTACGCGTCCAGAGATTGTGTTATCTGCAATATCCAAAATAAAGAGGGATGACATTTGGCATATTTGTTCTGGGATGTTACCGCTAAAATGATTGGATCTTAATTGGAGAGCCTTTGCAGCATGCGGTATCCAATTTGGTATATTTCCTGTAAAGTTATTTTCACGAACATTGAAGATCAGTATTTGGCAATTTTGTAGCGATGGAGGAATCTCTCCGTAGAGCTTATTCTCATGCAGATGTAGCGAGGCAAGATTAGATAACACACCCATTGATATGGGTATTTTGCCTGTTAAATTATTGCTTCCCAAATTAACATGAATCAATGATTTCCATTTCTCCCAGCAACTTGTAAGATCTCCAGATAAATGATTCAGAGATATATCCAAGTACACCAAATTGCTTTTCCCATTCAGCATCTTATGATCACACAAGAGTTGAGAGATACTTCCTGATAATGATTTGTTTGATAACCTGACAATTGCTACATTCGAGGATAATCGAGGCAGGGATCCTTTCAAACCATTTGATGACAAATTTACCACTGTAGAGTTCAACAATATGTTTGATAGGTTCCCATCTATCGAATTATATTCTAAAGAAAGTTTGGACACCCTTGATACAAAATTCCAAAATTTGTCTGGGGCCTGAAACGATGATCCATAAATAGATAAACCTTGAATAGATCTTTGAGTATATAACCATGCAGGGAGGTGAGGACCTGAAAATGAGAGCCATAGGTTCTCAAGTTGAAAAGGTGGAATCCAGTGGGAGTCAAAATCAAAGATTAATGGTGGTGAAGAGTATATATCCAAGTTCTTTAATTTTGACATTTTGGCAAAATTTCTCTCTGACACAACTCCTGTGAATTGATTGTCGCCAACGGACAAGGAAGTTAAGGATGATAGATTTCCCAAACTTTTGGGAATAAATCCAGAAAACATGTTACCGTCGACAAAAAGATATTGTAGATGGTCAAGTTCACCTATCCAATCTGGTATTGATCCATTGAGGTCATTGTTTTCCAAATCCAGGTCTTCCAAATGTTGAAGATTTAACAATGCCTTAGGAAGTTGTCCTGTTAAAGAGCATGAACTAAGAAAAATACCAGAAAGACCACAACTAATGTTAAATAACCATTTAGGCAACTCTGAGTGAAATTTATTTCCTGATAGATGAAGAATTTTGAGTGCAGTAAAATTAGCATGTTGAAGAGATGGATTCAAATCTTTAAGTTGGCAATAACTCATGCGGAGCACTGAAAGCGATGGTAGCATAGTGACTATTTGAAGCCAGTTAGTTTCCTTGTGAAGATCAACGCCACTGATGTAAAGATATTCCAAGGAGGACATGCGAAAAAGAAATTGAAGACTATTTATAACAAGATTATCGTTAAGGGACAGATCAAGATAACGAAGAGTTGATGAGTTGAGATATTGCGGAGGACGGATAGATACAGATAGGTTATAATAATTCTGATTATGCACAGAATCAAACTGGATCGCCAAGAAGTCGTTATTTCTCAAATCCAAGTAGTTTAGAAATTCCAACTCCATTAACAGGGAAAGGGAAAAGGTACCTGTGAGGCAGTGTGATTTATCTTCTTTGTCAATGTAATTAGGAATACTTGTAAAACATGGGAGACTGAGCCGAGTGACTCTACTGTTGATTCTGTCACACTTAACTCCTCTCCATTCACAACAATCTTGTTGAGTGGACCATGAAGAAAGTACGCCTGATGGATCCATGACTCCTTTCTTGAAGTTTAAGAGAGTTTGTGTATCTTTTTTGCTGCAACGATTATTGAAGTTGCAAGTTCCGGCGTCGAACATCATTGTGCATAGCAAACATGCAAAGATGAGTGCATATGGAGAAGAAGATGTATCCATGGTTAGGATAGAAAGAAAAGGCAAGGTAGGAGGGATGAACTTCAACTTCATTCAGAGGAACTTATTTATACAAGTGAAAGCTAGTCTTCATAATCATTTCTATTATCTATAATAAAATGAAGTTCCAAAAATGTATTTTAACGATCTTTACAGAGAAATTTCATCCCGTGGTGTCCATACCATACCGGTCAACAAGGTTTGTATTACTTTTAAAGGATTTAAAAAAAAAATGTGAATTTGATATTATTTATTTTCCTAGTTAGTGTAATTCTCTAAGTTTTGAAAGAAAAAAAAAGGCTTAATATCAATTTTGGTCCCAATTTTTCTCAGTTTTATTCGAAATGGTCCAATTTTTTTTTCCTGTTCAATGTTGTCCTAAAGAATGTAATTTATGTTCAATTTAGTCT